TTAGACAAAATTAAACATTAATTCATAATAGAAAATTCCCCACAAATCAGGAGTAGCATATAACTTCCTATTAACATAGATGGCAAAATCAATAACTTGACTGTAAATATTTTAAGTAAACCTTTCATTGAAGTATGACATTCATAACAGTACATAAATCATAATTGTACAACATAGATTTTCACATTTGAAGTTACACACATAACCACCATCAAGATAATGAAATAGAAAATTACTAGCATCCCAGAAATCACCTTTTGTGATCTTTCACTCATATTCTTCTTCTCTCCTCACAGGTAATCACTATCCTGACTTCTGTCAAAACAGATTAGTTTTGTCTGTTTTGGACATTAAATGAATGGAATAATGCTGTATTTATATTTGCTTTTTTTATGTCTGCCTCCATTTGTTTTGTAAAAATCATGTTTGTGAAATCATTCACATACTTGTGTATAATTATAGCTTGTTAATTTTCATTGCAGTATGATAATCCACCATATGGCTATACTTCACCTCATTATCCATCCTGTTCTGAACGGACATTTTTTATTTTACCCAATTTTTCTTTTACCTTACGACTTGCATATTTATTGAACAAATACTATTAAAATAGTTAAAATACATTAAGTACTTGTCATGAGTGCATCAGTAAACATCACATTGTTACAAAAGCCTGCATTTTCAGCAGTACACAACTGCAACTCTACATAAATGCCACAGATGCAGAATACTGTTTTCTTGCTCTACACAGCTGACATACCTATTCTAACAAGGGAGGAAGGGGAGAAATGCATAAGAAACTCAGGACAATGGGGGAGCAAGAAGAGAATGAAGAAATGCAGCACGTGTCAGTGTCACTGGTGTTTAACAGTCAGAAGCAGATTAGTTCAAAACAAGGCCTGCCCTGTCAAAGAAAGAACTAAATGACAGTTATATAAAAATTAAGGTAGGCTTTCAGACTGGTTAGCACGACATTTCATGAGTAGATGTTATTTTAGTTTTGTTTGCCCATTTCGTTGGCAGCAAGGACAAACAGGTGAAATCTACGCCTTGCTTATCAAAACCATCAAAAAAGGGTACTCTGCCTCGTTAAAAATTAGTATTATTTTTGTGAAGACATTTTTTCCAATTTCATTTTTGAAAAATGTTTAATTTCCTATTCCTACTCAGTTGCCAGTGTTTTAGACCCCCCCCCCCCCCCAGGGATGGCCACTTGTATATCTAATCCTTGTATATCTAACCCCACATCTTTAAAATTAAACAAAAAGGAGTTTGCCCTTTTTTCTCAAATATCCTTTCAAACAAAAAGAGCCCAAAGGGACACCTCAAAATGCCTGTGAAATGATTGCTTTTCTTTCTCTAAGTCAGGCGGTTGGGGCTACAGACAGGAGGAATTTTGGTAAGTAACTTACAGGACTACAGTGACTGCATGTCCGTGAGTGCCAGTCAATGAGACAAGAGTCTCTCACACTCTCTGGTAGCATTCATTCAACCTACAACACTGAGGAAAAAAGTCACACTGAAGACACAAGGAAAACATGTCAATCCAGTCTAGAGAACAACATTCAGGGAAACAGAGTACCAACACCTTCTTAGAACATGGAAGCAAAAATAACTCCATCAGAGCTACCTCACCAAGGAGCATGTTGAAAGTCCAAAATAGCGCCATTCATCCGTGTCTCAAGTCCTGTGGCAGCATTTGGGTCACTTACCACAAAGAAACAATGAGTTTCAAATTACTTCTATACATCAAAAGAGTACATGGATTAAATATAGAGATATGCAGACAGTTGATGAAGATAAACTACTAGGCTTGTTACATCTAAGTGGAACAAAAGGGTGGGGGACTCTCAGCCTCTGCAAGAAGCAGTCGGGAGTTGTGTGAGTGAAAAGACAAGAGTGGACCAGTGGTATAAGCACGGTGGGAGTTTCAGTTGTGGAAGACGTTGTTGTAGTGAACCAGGCCTGAAAGCCCACATGTAGAGGTTGTAAACGTGGATTCACAGTGTGAAATTCGAAGTGTTTTCACTTGAGTTAGAATGATTCAAAACGGGTTTGATGACACCTACTTGCCCACTGTAAATTCTCTAAAGCAAAGCTCAGAGTCCCATAGTTTCTTCTTATACTTGATTTACACAGAAAAAAATCCTGTATATTATACCATGACCTCATCAATATCCATACGCCATATGTAATACAAGTGGAGATGTTATGAGTAAAAAAAGTGGAGGCAATTGATCTCATCACCCTTCTTGGGGTTCACTTCCTTTGAGACAAGAAGTCTTCCCTTAGGAAGTCTTCCCTCCATCTTCTTGTTTGGAAATGGTTCTTGGATGACCTAGACGGAGAGTTCTGGGTATAAACCATTTTGAGAATCTTAGTCTTAGACTGCTATTCTCCCTCTCTTCAGTCCACGGAGACCAACAGACAAAAACCCCACTCCCTGCTCACTCTCTCTCCTCTTTACACCTGAAACACAAATATGAATGAAAAAGGGCATCGTGCTAGAAAGACAGCTTGAGGTCGGGGGAGGGATCCCCTGTTTTCTATTGCAAATAATTCTGCTATGAACATTAATGCCCGTGGCATTTAGAAAACACATGCATGCATTTTCAATTATTAAATACCTGAGAATGAAATTGTTTAGTCACTGGGAATGCATATGTCCAGTTTTGGTAAATATAGCCAAAAAGTTTTGAAAGCAGTTATAGCCGTATGCATTCCCATTAACAGTGCATGGCAGATCAAGTTAATTCATATCTTTCTCTTTAGGTGGGATTTCTGTGGTCTTGTTTTAGACTTTCTGGTGGGTGTCTACTGGTGCCTCATTGATGTTATTATTTTTATTTTCTTTATAACTAATAAAGTGGAATAAACTTTGATATATTTTATGCTGTTTGGATACCCCCTTTTTAAGAAATACTTTTCCAAGACTTTGCCTATTTTCTATTGTTATGTTCTTTGACCTTCCTTATCACTCTTTCATGTCTTTTATTTCCATATGGATATTCAGTAGCTCTGACACTGGTTATTGAGGTAAACATTCTTTTGCTATTGCATTGTGATATCACTTTTGATATATATCAAATGACAACCTGCACATGGGTTTGTTTTGAGATTTTTTGTGTGTGTCCTATTGCTCTATTTGTCTCTCCTTGCACTGAGACTACATTAGTTTTATAATATTCTTTGTTGCCTGGTAGTAATAAGCCCTTCAGCTCTTCTTCTGCAACAGTTTCTTGAAAATTCTGGATCCATCACATTTTAGAGTAGTTTCCAAGGCAAAACTTTCCAGGGTGTTCACTGAGGTTGAATAGGATCTATAGACCATTTTTTGGAAGAATATGCCTATTTAAAATATAAATTTTTATAGTTTATGAACATGATAAGTCCCTGTATTTATGTATCTTCTTTAATCTCCAACTGATGCTTAATGTTTTATATTGAGACATTTTGCATATCGTATTTGATGCATTCCAAATTATAAGATTTCTGATGTTATTTTAAATGGTATCATGATAGGGCTTTACTTTCTAATTAGTGGTTGTTGATTTATAAAAATACAATTGATATTTTGATATTGTTTTTGTATTCAGTTATCTTGCTCAATAATATTAATTACTAAGAATCATTTATTAATTCATGACAATTATTTTATCAAATGCTCTACCTGTTTATTCTTTATGATTATGTAAATGCACAATAATGTCATCTGTGAAAATGTAAAGTTTTATTTTCCTTCACAATGCTGAAGTCTTGTTTTTCTTGCCTCATTGTACTTGTTAAGGTCTCTGATGTGAAGTTACCTAGAAGTGGTGCCCAGACTCAGAGGAAATATGATCAGTATTTTGACATTAAGTATGATTTTTGATGAGGAAATTTCAGTTTGTTTCTAGTTTACTTAGTTAACAAAAACATCTGTTGGACTTCATCAGTTTTTTCCCATATTTACTGGATAATCACATAGTTTTTTACTTTATTCTATTAATATAGAAAAATACATTGAATGGCTTTTACATATTACCACTGGGTTATGCTTGGTAATATTTTATTTGGAATTTTTGCCTCTGTTACTGAGATACTTGTTTTCATTTTTCTTGTTTTGTAATACCCTTTCAATGTTGTGTGGCCACACAAAATAAGTTAGGAGATTTTCTTTCACCTGCCCTTTGGAAGAGTTTTGTAAAATTCATATATTTAAATGTTTTTCTTTTTCTTTTATTTCCTTAAATTCTTGGAAAAATTCACTAGTGAAATCTCTGGAACTAGATATTTCCTTACTGAAAACTTTTTAAGTTAAGTTTGAATTTATATTATAGATATAGAGCAGCCATTTTAATTCCTTCTTTGAGCCTTAATTTTACTAAATCCTGTTTTTAAGAAAACATCTAAGTTGTCAAATTTGTTAATATAAATTTGTTTAACACATTCTATTATTTTTTTACTTTTAAATATGAAATTTTAAATAAATATAGAATCTGTCCAGGAAAATGAACAAATCACGAGTCTTTGGCTCAATAAATCTTCACAAGCAGAATAGTCCCACTGAGCAGTCCCTAGCTCAATACACAAAATATTATAATCATCCTTCCTTCAAGACAGAACCTCCAGAGGGGCAACCAGTCTCCTAATTTAAACACCAAATTTGGCCGGGTTTGGTGGCTTAGCCTGTAATCCCAGCACTTTGGGAGGCCAAGGGGAGTGGATTGTCTGAACCCACGGGTTCGAGACCAGCCCAGGAAACTTCGCAAGACCTCATCTCTACATTAAATAAAAAAATAGCCGGGCGTGGTAGCACAAACCTATAGTCCCAGCTACTTGGAAGGCTGAGGCAGAAGGATCGCCGGAGCCCAGCAGGTCAAGGCTGCGGTAGCCAGGAGCATGTCACTGCACTCCAGTCTGGGCGACAGAATGAGACTCCAACTCAAATAAATAAATAAATAAATAAATAAATAAATAAATAAATAAACGCCAAATTTTTTCCAGTTGTTGAACTTTGCATAAATTGAATTATACCGTATGTACATGTTTGCTTCTTGATTACTTAACTTAATATTGAATTAGGTGATTATAGATTTATTCACGGTTTTGCATGTAGTTTTTTTATTGTCATTGCATAGTATTCCATTTGTGGATATACATCAACTTATTTATTTGTTATACTACAATAGTTACTTGATTTTTATTTTCCAATTTAGACCTATTACAAATAATGCTGTTATAAACTTCCTTGTATATGACTTTATTTTTCTTTTCTTTTCGTTTTTTTTGAGTCAGCCTCACTCTGTCGCCAGGATCGGGTGCAGTGGCACCCATCATGGCTCATCACAACCTCAAACTCCCAAGTTGAAGGGATCCACCCTCCTCAACATCCTGAGTAGTCATGACTATGGGCAGGTCCCACCACACCTGGCTAATTTTTTTTATTTTTTGTAGAGACAAAGTCTCACTATGTTGCCCAGGTTGGTCTCAAACTCCTGGGCTCAAGGGAGCTTCCTGCCTTGGTCTTCCAAATTGCTGGGATTACAGGCATGAGCTACTGTGCCTGGCCTTTGTACATGCCTTTTGATAAGGATATGAACACATTTCTGTTGGAATTTTATCAAGCAACAAAATGTCTGGGTCATAGAGTATGCAATTTCAACAGATATCACCAGAGGTTCTGATATGAAGATACCAAATTTCTCTCCCACAAGCAGTGCATGAATGTTTCAGTTGCTGTCTCCTCACCAGCAGTTGGTGTTATCTCTTTAATTTTATTCACTTGGTGTATGTGTAGTGATATCACCTTATATTTTGAATTTGTGTTTCCTTCATGAATAATAAAGTTGGACACACTTTCATATGTGTATTGGGCATATAGATTATCTTTTTTGTAAAGTTCTGGTTATAGAAATTAATCTGTTTTCCCTCCAGATTATCTATCGCTATTTTAATGATTTTTGGTTTTCTAATTTACTTTTTAATATAATTTCTGTATTAGATATGTGCATAGAGAATGTCACTTTGGAAAACAGTTCAGCAGTTTCTTACAAAGTTAAACATACAGTTACAACATAAGCTGGAGATTTTACCTAGGTATTTACCCAGGAGAAATGAAAGCATGTGCCCTCAAAAACTACTCTATCAGTACATCTTTATCCATTATAGTACCAAAAACATTAGAAAAAAGTCCAAATGTGAACCAGTTGAAATTTTTAAAAATGTGTTTTATATGTGCTATGGAATAATACTCATGAAGAAAGCTGATTCATGTAACAAGGATGGATTTCAAAAGTTTCATTTAAGTAAAAGGAGCTTCACACAAAACAACCAGGTGTGGTGGCTCATGCCTATAATCCCAGCTACTCAGAAGGCTGAGGTGGAAGGATTGTCTGAGTCCCAGGGGCCGAGGCTGCAGTGAGCTGTGATCATGCCACATTGCACTCCAACAAACGTGGATGACAGAGTGAAACCCCAACTCAAAAGAAAAACAAAAGGAAGTTACACATGAAAACTATGTACTTCCATTTATATAAAATTCTAGAGAAGACAAAACTGTAGGAAGCAGAAAACTCTAGCCAGGGGCTGGAGGTAGGAAATAAGAAATACTGTAAAGAAGCACAAGAGACCATTTGGACTACTGAATATTTTAGGTATTTAGTTTGTGGTGGTGGTTAACATGACTGCATAAATTTGGTGAAACTCATTTAATTGTACAAATACAAAGGGGTCACTTATTGTATAATTTTACCTCAATAAACCTACCTTAAGAAAAGGATAATTTCCTTGACTGAATAAAAGTCATCTACAAAAAAAAACCATAAAGCTAACATCAAATATAATGGGAAAGATTGAATGCTTTCCCCCTAAGATTGGGAACATGGCAAGCTTTCCCACCTTTCTTATTCAACATAGCACAGGAAGGTGCCTCTACCCACCTTTCTTATTCAACATAGCACTGGAAGGCTTAACCAATATAATCAAGTAAAACAAAGAAGTAAAAGGCATACAGTTTATAAAGAAAAGATAAAGTTGTATACTTTGTATAAAGAATTGCTTCCTTGGTCGCTAGTAGTTTTAATTATCTATATCACCTATAACTTTAACTTTTAGCAACCTTAATTTCTAGGGAAAACTTAATAGTAATTTTGAGCTGTGAAGTCCCAAAGCAATTTATGAATATATATTTATTATTTCTACAAACATAGGCTTCTTATAAAACAAATTTTCAATGTGGAACAAGACATTTACTAACAAATTCAAATATCTTGTGCTTTCTTGAAATAAGGAGCCAAAAGCATATGAGCTTACTCTTATATTTAGTAATTAATGACTTAGCATTGTATCTTATTTGGAAATGATCTATATACTCAATTAAATCGACCATATAATTAATTAATTAATTTTATTTGAGTCAAGGTCTTACTCTGTCACCCATACTAGAGTGCAGTGGCACAGTAATGGCTCACCACAACCTAAAACTGCTACACTCAAGTGATGCTTCCACCTTAGCCTCCTGAATACCTGGGCATACAGGCATTCGCCACCATACCTGGTTAATTTTTTTTCTTTTTGTAGCAACAAGGTCTTGCTATGTTGCCCAGGTGGGTCTCAAACTCCTGAGCTCCAGCAATCCTCCCGCCTCAGCTTCCTCATTATTTAATTTAAATAAGCAAAAATGTTTTTCTTTAATACATTTCATTTTTCAAAGAAGATTTAGGTTCACTGCAAAATAGAGCAAAAAAGTAAAGAGAGCTAGCTAAAAATAAAAACAAAACCCAAATAAGCTGACTCAAAGATGGACAAGGGGCCTGAACAAACATCTCCCAAAAGAAGGCATACAAATGGCCAACAGGCACATGAGAAAGTATAATAGAGCAATAAAAAAAAATTTTTTTTTGAGTCGGTGTCTCACTCTGTTGCCCAGGTTGGAGTGCAGTGGCATGTTTACATCCATCACAGGCTTGTGATACTTCCGCCTCAGCTTTCCAAGTAGCTGGAACTACAGGCGTGTGCTACTATGCCCAGCTTATTTTTTTATTTATTTTAGAGACGAGGTCTTGCCAAGTTGCCCAGGCTGGTCTTGAACTGCTGAGCTCAGGCAATCATCTCGCCTCGGCCTCCCAAAGTTCTGGGATTATAGGCTTGAGCCATGGCATCCGTCCTAACTGAGCAAAATTGTAAGGGTGTAGTTACCATAAGGATTTGGAAAACTTTAAATAAACATATTATAAGACATACTTATTATTTTTTCATTTTTAGAAGGTGTCTCAATCTGTCACTCAGGCTGGTGGGTGACACTGGTAGGACACAGCTCACTGCTGCCATGAACTCCTGGGCTTAAGTAGTCTTCCCACCTCAGACTCCCAAGTAACTGGGACCACGGGTGACCACACACATCTATTTAAAAAATATTTTTTGTGGTGATGGGAGTTTTGATATGTTTCCCAGGCTATTTTCAAACTTCTGGCCTCAAACAATCCTCCCACCTCAGCCTCCCAAAGTAGTGGATTATAGTCATGAGCCACCACACCTAGCTAGCCAAGACATAATTATTATTAAAACGTTTACTTATAAACTTTTATCCGATTTATATTTTAGTCATTTTACTCATTCTTAACATATATGCTTGGAAAATTTCATGACATTAGATAAAATTAGTCCTCATAAGCAGACAAACTAATTTAAAAGTCATTGCAATCACTAGGACATTATTCTAGAAATTCCCTCCCCTTATACTGACCTGAATGTTAAGCAAAACAAGACTTTTTTAAGTGGGCAAAGAAATTATCGACAAGCTCTTCTTTTTTTTCCCTCTCTGATGTTCTGGTTAATTGACTAATCAGTGGGGGTAAGAAATACCTTAGAAATGGATTTTGAAAGTTTTCTTTATAAATTTAACTATATTTATAGTATTGTATGTTAGGGTATGGATAGGGTGAGGGTGGATTGGATGGAGAGGGAGAGGCACAGGGAAGACACAGTACCTTTGGAGCTGGCAAGCTGGAGAAGTGCGCTGGCAACCCAGAGATCCGAGTAAATGCAAAGAATTGCAACACACAGAGGTGAGGGAAGAAAAGATTTATTTAAGAAAAGTTCCCCCCCACAGACAGGGAGCAGGGCATACACTCTAGGTGAGTGTGGCGTGGTAGCCCCCCAAAGTCCTGGCTTAAATTCTTTTCCTTGGAGATATTGCAATGAGGTAGACGTGACTTCTGTAACTTCCTTATCGACCACCTGTGGATGTCTTGGAGAACCTGTGACACAGAGACCCACTAATGTCCGCGCACATTATCATAGCCCCTAGAGAAGGGCGTGACAAGGATTCTAATGCTCCTGCACCTTCCCAAATGACATTCCTTAGAGCTAATGGAGGGTGCACCTCCCCTTATCTCCTAGGCATTCCCAGTGGGTAGCTTCAGGGGATCCTTGACTTCCCTGTAGATAGTGCCCAACTTACTGGAAGATCGAATCCCCACCTGTTCTCCCTCTGAGTGGTCATAACTTTTGTAATTATAAGTTTCATGACTTTTACAATCCTTGCCCAATGCATGATGTCTTAGGCCTTGAAAATTCCCTTTACTCTAAGCAAGCTTGATTGCCGCTATGAGATACCGCTGATACTTGGCACCAGGAAGTCTGTTTCTGAAAAGACAAAGTTAGCAAAGTTAATTTTACCTAAAGTGTACATTTCTCTAAAAACATAGCTTCTACTTTCTCATCATTGTGTCAGTGTTTAAGAACAAGATGAAAAATGGCTTCCCACTCTCAGTCTGTCCTTTCACTGTATACTAGACAAGTATCATAAAAGTGAGAATCTTAAAGTTAAATACATGTATATTTTACTGATAACTCAAAATATGCTACTTAAAAAAATTGAACCAACAATATTAGACTAGTTCTAATTTATTAAATATTTACTTGTCACATGAGCTTGAAAAATATCTATATTAATATTATTTTTCTGACACAATTTTTAATAAGCACTTAATGTATTCTTCCTCTAAAACAATTAAAATGGAGATTTTATAAATTTGTGGTAAAAATATCTCACATCTACAATACGCACACATACATAGATGTTCACTAATACACAGACAGAAGCAGATGTTACAGCTTCTACTTTAAAACTTTCAGCTGCAGGCCTCAGTGGCTCATGCTGGTAATGCCAACATTTGGGGAAGTCAAGGCTAGAGGATCACTTGAGTCCAGGAATTTGAGACCAGGCTATGCAACATTGCTAGACGCTGTCTCTACAAAAAAATCAAGAAATTGCCCGGGCATGTGGTATACACCTGTAGTCCCAGCTATTTTGGAGGCTGAGGCAGAAGAATTGCCTGAGCTCAAAAGGTTGAGGCTGTGGTGAGCTGTGATGGTGTCACAGTGATCCAGCCTGGGTGACAGTATGAGACCTTAACTAAAAAAAAAAAAAAAGCCAAACTCTTTAAAATATGTAGAGGTTTATTCTGAGCCAAATATGAGTGACCAAGGTCCAAGGCACGGTCCAAGAGGTCCTGAGAACATGTGCCCAAATAGGTTGGGTTATAGCTTGGTTTTATACATTTTAGGGAGACAGAAGTTACAGGCAATAAACAAACAAATGAATAAATGAATAAATACATATAAGATATACATTGCTTGGACCTGGAAAGGCAGGACATCTTGTAGCAGAGGTGTGGGGCTGGGACTTACAGATTATAGGTGGAATCACAGATTTTCTGACTTTCTGACTAGAAGTTGGTTGAAAGGGTTAAGCTCTGCCTAAAGAATTTGAAATCAGTAGAAAGAAATGCTTGAGTTAAGATAGGGGGGGTTGGGGCAGCCAAGGTTCTTCCTATGTAGATGAAACCTCTAAGCAGCAGGCTTCAGAAAGAGTAGGTTGTAAATGTCTTGAAAGGTGTCAGACTGTTCCTAGGGAAGGAGATTCTCTACAGATGTAAATATTTGCAGGGCTGTTTCAAATATGTCAAAAAACATATTTTGAGGTAAAATATTTCTATTTCCTTTAATGCTTGCTATCTGTCATGTGATGCTATACCAGAGTGAGGCTGGAATTTGGTAACTTATTATCACAGAATCTGTTTTGTTAGGCTTATGACCTCTATTTTAATGCCTAAACTCCAAAAGGGAAGGGGTATAATGAAGTAAGTCTGATCTCCTTTTCCTGTCATAGCCTGGTATTTAGTTTCTCAGACTTCCCTTGGCCCAGAGAAGGTCCTTTCAGTCGGTTAAGGGGTTTGGAATTTTATTTTTGCTTTACATTTGTTAGGTCTCATAATTCAAAATTTGAACTGGATCTGGTAAATGAGATAAGTCAAGGTTACCTATTTATGTGACTAGTTAGTAGAAAAGAACTTTAAGATTTTTAAAAATTGGTCAATTTTTAAATAGTCAAAAATCATGTCAACAAGAAAAGAAATGGACAGAGGAGACAGAGTACAGTATTTGTTTAGTTCACTGATGCACCTATCCAGTGTCTCTCTAGCCTAGTGTATGTGTCTGGCCCTGTAGCGTTGCCTCGCCTGCTCTGAGGAAAAAAAAAAAACAACCCTGCATATAAAATCTAATGGATACAGATGAGAAGACTAACTACATTATCTTTAACCTGATTTTTAAAAAAAAAAAAAAATATATATATATATATATATATATATGTATTAGGGAGTAGATTTTCAACTAAGATGAAAAATCAAAAGATTTCCTTGTTCCAAATTTAAAGCTGATTGTCTCTGAAAAGTTTTAATCCTAGAAAACTCACTGGATGTTTACATTTCAAAGATATGGCAAGATTTACATCTCCAAGGGACAGGTCAAAGGCCTTGGGAAAACTGGAGTGCCTTTTGCAAAACCTGTTGCAAATCAGTCAAGAAGGTAGGTTGAGCTTGTAAAGGAATTTGGTGAGGGTGAGAGCGGTTCAAAAAACAAACAAAACTTAGATCAAAAAGTCCAAATTTTCATAAGTGTACCTACTTTTAATTGTGACTTAAAACCCAATCTTGGGTGCAAAGAATGCAATCCCCTTTAAGATCTAAAGTTTTCCTAAATATAGTCTAAGAAAGCAACGACCCTTCATTAGGCCATGAAGAATGAGAAAATTACCACAAATTCCCTTGGAAGCTGGCACATTCAAACAGACATGTTGGACTCCCAGCCAACGGGTGGCAGAAACCAGAGAATAAATTCACTGATTACAAAGCCAAGCTTCAAGAAATAAAATGAAAGAAAAGAATAATCTTATTTTTTTCTTCTTCTTATGACATTTGACACACAAGACAGAGACTACAGAGACAAAGGCCATTGCTGGGAGTCTAAAGATCAATAAGTCACAGGTATCTAAAACAAATTCATAAGAATCACAAACTCTTCACAAAGAAATCATTTCTTCTGCCAGCCTGAATTTTGAAAGAAAGGGATAAAGAAATCCATTCTTGACTGGGCATTACAAGTTAATGTCTAGGATAACTAACCTTGGCAAAAATTATTTCCTTTCTTTGCCAACTTTTTGTCTGTTATCCTAGGACCTCATTTGTAGGCTCTGGAGCAAGTCAGGTGTCTCAGTGATTCCACTTTTGTCACCAGAACTGAAAGGGTAAAAAAGGGGTGATTCTTCATGGCTGACACTCCTATAACAAAAGACAGATTAAGGAGAGAAAAGCATAACAAATTTATGACGTGCACACATGTACACAGGAATCATATGAGGGGGGACCTCCCAAAAAACCCTGAAATTTATTTATAAAAAAATGTGTATTTATTCTTACATGCTTAAACTTCAGTCACCTTCAAAGTACTCTCCATTTGATGCAATACACCTATCAAGATGCCTTTTCCACTGCTCACAACAGTCTTTGAACCCATTAATTCGGGTGCCTCTTAGTGCTGCTGCCATTTTTAGTTTCACCTCTTTCACTGCAGCAAAACGTTTTCTTTTGAGGACTTTTTTCATCCAGGGAAATAAACAACAACAAAAAAGTCACTCAGGATAAGATTGGGTGAATAGGAAGGGTGGGACACAGGGGTCATGCCATATTTGGTCCAAAACTGCTGAACACTCAGCATGGTGTGGGCAGGTGTGTTGTCATGGTGGAAGAACCTGTTACCTGTTTGCCACAACCGAGACATTTCTTCTGCAAGTTGCGACCTTCTCAAAACCTCCAGATAAAAACTGTGGCTGATCTGGAGGAACAAATTCTGAGTGTATTACAAGGGGCCCACCCCCTAAAAAATAATTCCGGGGTTTTTTGGGTTCTGCCCAGTACAAAATATGTTCTAATTTCTTATGTGACTTCTTCTTTGATTTATTAGTAATCTAGGAGTCTGTTGCTTAACTTACACCTATTTGTAAATTTCCCAGATTTCCTTATTTTATTTATTTTTAATTTTACTTCATTGGAGTGATAGAACATACTTTGCATCATTTCAATCCATTTAAATTTATTGAGACTTGATTTACTGCCTAACAGAAAGGATAAAGGATATTCTGTGTGCATTTGGGGAGAATATTTTTAAAGTTTAGTTGACATACAGTGCTGACCATGTTTGCTGAACTTCTTAAATACGTCTTATCAAATATTTTACCAAATTTGTGATGTTTTCAACCATTTCTTCCTTCAAATATACCATTATTTGTATATTGGTACACTTGAAAGTGTCCCACAGGTTTCTATGGTTCAGTTCATTGTTGGGAGCCAACATCTATAGCTACATGGCTGAGGCCTGTAAAGGCCCATCTGGAAGATCGCCTCTGACATAGGATATCAGTTATACCTATGATATTGGCATGTGATTAGTGACCAGTGTGCATACATGGCAGTAAAACTTATAAGTAAATCTCAATACACCTGATGGAAAGTGCATAGCAAAATTATTTCTCTCTGTCTTTCTAAGTTTTACTTCTTTCTAGATATTTTTTAACTTCTATTTCCTGGTAGACTGGGTAGTCAACTCTTGTTCCCGAAAGCTGTTTCCCCTAGGGCTAAGATTAGAAACTAAATTACCATGATAGTTTTGTCGCCCTGCCCCTAGCCAGGTAGAACGTTTTCTTTTGTTTCGTTAATTACCGAAACTCTGTCTGCTTCAGCCCATGGCCGCCATCTTGGAAGCCCTGCATTTCCTTGTTCAAGAGTGTGACAGCTACTATTTGATTTTTAGAGTAGACTTGTTAGGATAAAATATATACATATACACTCATAGCTGCGTAAATCTATGCTTGCTGTTTTGTTTCCTTTTGCTACATTATTCAAGTGTAATAGTTACTATACGATTTATAAAAGAATTAACGATAAGGTATTAGCTTAATAGGATATAGCATAGTATTAAAGTCCAATAACTAGATCATATGAAAATTAAAGTTTAGACATATGAAACATATGAATTATAGTAAAGTTTGGTAGTTTAAGAATAAGTTTTAACTGAGTTATAAGGCATTACGTTAAATCGTAATAGGTTAATAGTATAACTGACAGTTAAGTCATTTAACTAAACTTATAGATTATAGTATAGTGTTAAGTTGATAATATTAATTGTTAAAAATATTGGGAATCAGTGAACTTGGATTGAACCTAGAGTTAACTCAGGAAAGTTTTTTGTATTAATCAGGGTATAGAGCAAAGAGTATAATATGAATGATTCATTGAACATTATGGAAAACACTTTGAACGATTTGTATTGAAATTGTGCACCTGTGACCTTAATGTAAGCACGGCAGGCATCATGGAATTTGAATTGTTTGCTTGGAAATTGCAGATCTCGTGGTGGTCTTGTGATGCATAGTTTGTAAAGCACGAAACTTG